AAAAGTGAAAATAAACGAGCATAAAACAGGTAATGACACTTAGCCATTTTATTTTATTCCGAGGTGCTTTCTTGCGTCTTTAATGATTTGTGAAGACGGCTTCATGTAGACAGAATATTTGAGATTTAAATAAAATTCAATCTAAAGACGCCTTCAGATAATAAAGATGACAACGCAAATTGGATGTCTGAATTGGAACTTTTGAAGCTAATGTGTTTAGAGACGAGGTTCGATAGCTTATAGGGTTAGTGAATAAATAAAAAATCAGGGTGATAGACGCAAACACGCACGAATGATATAAGATAAATTCTGATAAGTTACGTGATATCAGCAACTAATAAAAATCTATAATAATTATGCTTTTCCATCTATTTGTTAATTTACACGACCATAACAACTTGCCACATAAATAATGGATTCTTTCGTTTTGATCTCGTGGAAAGACAAATTACATATCAGATACGCTACTTGGTTTCAGTGAAAAAAAGAAAGAAAGAAGTGTTTAAAATATCTTGGTAACACATCGTAAATAATGGACTATTCCGTTTTGATCGCGTTAGAAGACAAAACATATATCAAAGGCACTACTTGGTTTCAGTGGAAAATGAAATAAAATAGGGAAGATAAAAATATTTAACGGCTGTTTCACTGAAACGGTAGAAGTCGTCAATTTAAAATCTTTTTCATTTCTACCCTCTTACTTCTTAAAATAACGACAAGCATTCATATTTATGATTGTTATTGCAATATTTTGTTAAAGTTGTTAAGCTCTAATATTTTATTGTCGTAGAACTCGCTATGGGGTTACTCAATTATTAACAGAGGAATTAATAGGAAAAGCGTGAAATTTTCAGAAGTTAACACTGCCAATAATAATAATAATAGTAATAAAAACATATATGTGGAAACTCGCTAAAAATTCTAGAAAAAAATCAGTAGATTTAAGTGGTATCAAAAATCTGCACAAAAGTTCACGCATGTTTAAAATTCAAATTCCCCCATTAGCAATTATTAACCAATGAACGACGTTAACACAAGCGAATTCAAACGTTTAAAAACCAGACGACATTTAGTATTTTGTAGGGTAACCTTTTGCTTTAATAATGGCCTTAATTCTTCATGGCATGCTATAGATTAAATACTTTAGTAAGTCAATGTTCTTCGCCAGATTTATCCACCATTCATTTAATCCATGTAAAAGACCATCTTCTGTATTAACTTTCCTATTACCGGCACGCTTGTCCACTATCGCCAAAAGGTTTTCATTTGAGTTAAGGTCACGGCTCTGACTAGGCCCCTGGAAGAGTTGTAATTTACCCTTGTCGCACTTCCTCTCTAGATAACTTTTATTCTTTAAGGCAGTAAGCTTAGGATCGTTATCGTTACTAAATCATTTTCTGACATTTTGATTTAATGTACATATATACACCTGCATTATTATCCTGTATTATAAACGAATTCTATTACTCACTTGTCTTGGTAAAAATACAAAAATCGACTTTCTATGGAGGCGTCTATTTCTTAGTCTCGTAATGTAGGTGCACTTGATGCAGCATTCACCCGGGAGAGGTAGAGCCGTCTCCTTCAAACGAATTGACTGCAGCCCGAACGAAAGCCGACCAAGCTGAGCGAAGGTCGAATTCATTTTGGGCGTGAAAATTCATAGAAGGAGTCTCAGTGGGAATTTTAGCCGGATTTATACACAATTTAGAATATTGGGATCCGAGCGTTTCCTGGACAAGTTAGCCTGACAGATCCCAACCCACACAAGCAGATTTGAATTCAGATTTTCCTTCTCCTAGACTAAGGCTATAGGACTAAGTCTGTCCTGAAATTTTACACATAGCTGAAAGGAGGAGAGATGGATTCATACCTTTTTCAAGGGTATTACATTCAGGTTGGTGAATATAATGAGCTCGACTGGAATTCGAACTCTGCTCTCCGATTCATCAATCCAAGCCGCTAACCCTTACTCCTCCTGCTCACTTACTACCACCTCCACTTTCATTCATATAACACATCTCATTCATCGACACTTTTAACAGTACCCATCTATCTTGAGTGACTCTCAAGCCTAGTATTAGGTCAATTTCATATAAAAGTTGTAAGCCATGCTTATCTTCTTTTATCCCCCACCAGACTATATGTTGCCATCTACCTTATTATGTAAATAATTCGCAGTTTCTCCTCTGCCTGCCCCGGATATCCTGTTAGTTCTAAAATTACGGAGCCTTTTTTCCTCATATATCTATCTCATAGATGCCAACTGTCCCTTTCTAAGTGTATGTTTTGTTTGTATTTTCCTTCTGTTGAACAGCATCTATGTTGCCAAAGTCTTTTTTTTCATCGACACAGGATAGAAAGCTTTGGTTAGCGATGATCTCCCACGTATTAAGAAACAAGCGATCAACCAATCTCTGCATATTGGCTTACAATTCGACATAATTTCATTTTGTTATTGCGAATTAGAGTCAGATGATTTTTGATTGCACAGTATTGATGACAGAAAAAAAAGAAAAAAACAAACGAAAGCTCAGGAACTCTTAGAGAAGTTAGTAAAGAAAGGACTAACTATGAATTTATGTAGACAGGATGTATGATTATCAGCCAGAGGAACAACGGTAAGTGCGACACTAAGATCCGTAGACGTATTGGGATGGCCAAGGACGCATGCATTCCAAAAGCTGGGCAGAGCATTGCAAGACAGGATGATTTTTTGGTAACAAAGAAAAGGTTACTGAGCTGTTACGTGTCATCTGCCCTTCTTTACGGCAGCGAATGCTGAACGATTTCCTCAAGAGACTCTAGGCGACCGAGATGTGGTGCTATGCTGAGGATTTCGTGGACCGAGCGTGTGAGCAAGGCTGAGGTCTTGGAGAGTATGCAGACAAGGAGGAGGCTCATACTTAACATCAGGAAGAGGCAGCTGAAGTTTCTGGGACACATAATGAGGAAGGAGGGCCTTGAGAATATGATACTCACGGGCCAAATAGAGGGAACGAGAGACAAGAGAAAGCAGCGCGTGACATTATTGGAGGGCATGTGCAGGTGGATGACAGAACGTGATCTGGTGGAGATAGCAGAGGGAAGAAACTTTTTGAGAGCTGCAAGGGATAGAGGGAGGTGGAGAGACATCATCACCTACGTCCTGAAAGAAAGAAACAAGGAAGAAGTTAAGCAAAGTATCAAGAAACAGGAAAGGTTCATTAGAAACAAAGACGAGGGTTCTGAACATTTATATGATATCATTTCTCCTAAATATCAGTGAATGTGTACAATCTCATCACAGATGAAGAAGACACTTGAGGTAACAGAAATATGGCTTTACAGAAGGATACAGAGAATATTGTGATCTGAACAGGTGGGCAACGGCAAACTTTTCAGGTAAATGAAAACAAAAAGGGCACATGCTTTTAATTAGAAATAGATAGTTGAACTTTCATATAATGGGGAAAGAACGCTTAGAGAATTTGAAACTCATTGGGCATATTGAAGAAAACACAGAGGAAAGTAGTGAATAACATACCTAACGAGCTTGTGTATATGGATGGAAGAACAAGAAATACGAGGGTCAGCAAAAAAACAAAATTTATAAAGAGCTATAAATTGGAAGACGCATTGGAATAGTGAAAGATGTTTTTCGAAAGTTAAGCAAAGTATTAATATATAGGAAAATTTCATTACATTCAAAGGCAAGGGTACTGGACTCTTATAAATGGCAATGAATTCTGGACAATCCTCTCACTGATGAAGAGGTTTACGGCAATACCTCGTTGAAACATCGGTTCCCGTACGATCACCGAAGTTAAGCAACGTCGATAGCAGGTGGGGGTACTGGGTGTGTAATGGATAACGGTTCGAAGTTGGAACTTAGTTTCGATTCCAGTCGGGTTCGCTATGTTGACTTATGCGCAAATAACCTTGGGAAAAACATGAATCCACTTCTTTCCCCCCCCCCAAATATGGGTTAATTTAGTACGACTTGTATCAGTAAGATATCTCCCAACAATTCTTAGAATCTAAAAAAACTGCTTTTAAATAACCTGTAAAGGGTTGATAAACCGTAAAAAACAAATTAACCATAGATGAAGAAAAGACTTAATTATTTAGAAGGATGATGAGAATATTAAAGTTCAGAACATTGGCATGTGGAAGTTTTAGTGAAAGTGGAAACGAAATATTTTTAGAATCAGAAAATAATTTCTAGGAAGTATAATGAGGAAAAAGGGCTTGGAGAAATCGACACTCATAGGGCATATTTAAGGGAGAGAGAAAGACAGCGAGTAAGCTAACTAACGAGCTTGTGAAAATAGATAGCAGAACAGGATTTAGGAGAGATAGTAAAACGAAAAGAGCTCCAAAAGACAGAAAAATGTGTCGAGCCGTAATTGCCAACGTCCTGAAGGGACACGGCAATTACGAAGAAGAACAAGCTTGTGTAAATGGATGGCAGAACAGAAGCTGGGAATGATGGAGAAAATCAAAGTTTACTAATAGCTGCAAAAGATTGGTTTTTATGGAGAGCCATGGCCGCCCAAGTCTTGAAGGAAGACGGCATGTAGAACAAGAAAAATTTAGAATGCGACAAGTGCTATTTCTTGATTTTGGCCACCGGATCATAATTGATCTTTCAACTAATCGAAGAACGAGGCAACGATTCTTGAAGAGAAATTCGCACGTAATCAGACGAATGACGCCGAGTAGATAGGCTGACGGCACGTAGTTGTAAGTCGCTGATAACGGATCTATTTTAATTTGATTGTAATAAGTCCCGATGAGTGGAGTGCGCCAGTTCAGTCATCTGTGACCTCTTGACTGTTTGAGAAGACAGATCACAAACGGGCGAGGAGCACTTGGGCACGAACACAATAGATGTTGCAGGAAGAGGAAAAGAAAAAAAAATCCGTCTTATTAACGATTACGATTGCCTTTTTCTGTTTGAAATTAATAAACTCGCAGACCTTTCTATGTCGAGGAGAAGACCTCCGATTAAGAATCAGTTAAAATAAGAGAGAGAGAGAGAGAGAGAGAGAGAGAGAGAGAGAGTCTGTGTGTGAGAGAGAGAGGAAGACAGGCAGACAAAGAGAGAGACAGAGAGAGTCAGAGAGAGACAGCGAGAAAGGAGGCAAAGACAATAAGAGAGAAAAAGAGAACGAAAGACGGTGAAAAAGAGAGAAATCAGGGAGAAAGAAAATGAAAGAGAGAGGTAAAGAGAATGAGAGTAAAAGAGAGCAAAATATAGTGAAAGAGAGGGAAAGACGAAGAGAAATATAGTGAAAGAGAAAGAAAGAACTAGAAAGAAAGAATGAAAGACAATGGGATAAAGGGATGAAAGAAAGTGTGTTATAGAGAGGCTTATAGAATGAGAGAGAGAGAGACGAAATAGTGTGAAAGAGAGATAAATACACAGAGAAACAATGTGAAAGAGAGAGAGAGAGAGAAAGACAACGAGAGAGCGAATGATTGTGACAGAGAAGGAAAAACAGGAAGAAAGAAAGTCAAAAGGAGTGAGAGATACAAAGAGAATGAGAGAAAGAGGAGAGAAAGAGTGAAAGACAGTGTAAGAGATTGAAAGACATGGAATAAATAAAGTTAAAAAGAGATAAGCAAAGAGAATGAGAGAGAGAGTGAAATAGTGAAAGAGATGGGGAGAGAGACACGGACATAGAATGTAAGAGAGAGAGAGAGAGAGAGTGCAGCTTATGGAATCAAAGAAAGAAAGAGAGAACGAAAGACAGTGGAAGAGAGGGAAAGACAAGTAGAAAGAAAGTAAAAGAGAGAGAGAGAGAGAGAGAGAAGAACAGAGTAGGAGCGAAGGACAGTGAAAGAAAGAGGGAATGATATAGAAAGAAAGACAGGGAGAAAGAAAGAATGTGAAAGAGAGAGGGGCTGTTCCATTGAAAAGTAGGAGGAGAAATGACGAAAGAAACATCGTAAGTCGGAGGGAATGAGAAAGAGCTAAAAAAGAGAAAGGGAAAGGAAGAAATATTGAGAGTGAGAGAAAGATACAGGAGAAGAGAGAGGTGGAGAAAGAGACAGGGAGATACGGAGAGAGATGATGGACAGAGAGAAAAGGGAAAGACGTACGTAGAGAAGGAAAGGGGGGAAAATGAAAGAGAAAGAAGGAAAGAGAGAGAGAGAGAGAGAGTGAAAGAGAGAAGTATGTGAAACGAAGACAGACACATTGTAAGTGATTGACATATAAAGAGAAAAATACTGGGAATATACTTGTACATTATTTCGAGCTATTGTTGACAATATTTACATTATTCAGACTATTGTCCTCATCTTTGTCGCCATATTTATTACAACGTTTCGGACGTTGTACGATCCGGCTTTCTTCAGGTGGTTGGACTTTATTTCGCTCGCTGGGGTAGACTATTCTAGTTCCACGTGCCATGTTTTAATGGATGTCAGTTATCAGTTATCTCGTGTTAATTCCACTCTACAAGTTCTCCTCTGCCTTTACCGGGTATTGAACTCACATCCTTTGGGTCCTGACACTGGATCTAACTAACGCCTTTATTCAATGTGCCATGTGTCCTTGAGAAGTGTGAATTCCTGATCCAAGGATTAAACTCACAATTGTTAGATAACAATAACGCGGATTCCCAAAACTTTTCTGGGGATGAGAGTAGCTAGACAGCCATCAAGATTAAAAACCCATCAAAAGGTGGATGGGTCATCTTGTAGATTCAACGGCCATCTAGAACAATGGGAAAGACTGGGTCTTATTGCTTTATATAAATCCAGTGCCATTTTGAAAAGGTTTATCTTGAGTCCTATTTATTAGAACATTTTGTAGATTTTATGTTGTTGATTTTTTTCTCCAAGATCATTTTTATCTAAACTACGAATACTTATATCATCAGCATACCCAGTATAAAAGTATTTTAAAAAAATCAAAAACTAAGAGCGAATAATATCCACAATTTTTCTCTATTAGAACTTTTTTTTACCTCACAGGTATTGCTGAAGTTATCGATAAACATTTTAATCGAGATTTAAATACTGTACGTTTCAGTCAATTTCGCAAACCAATCGATGAAATTTGAATAAGCTGATTTGTTTGGAAAAACACTTTAACAATAACCCTCCTTCACGTTTTAATAATTTCTCTAAATTAATTTAATTTAATAGGACTTCATGGTAAATAATATCTTTTTAACAGTAAAAAATAAATTCTTATGATTTCTTACTCTTGAGCATGCGACATACAACTGGCCATGCATAAATATTTCTTTCTAGAGCCAAATTCCAACTTTTGAAACGTTGAAGATTTTGATTTGTTTATAGTTCTCGCAAATATAGAGCGAACTGGTAACTAGATTCTTTTATACACAAAATTAAAGAGATGATATGCAAAGACTAATATTGCATTTTTATTAAATAAGTATTTATTTTAATCACTAAATTATTTTGAAAACCGTGGGAGTATTTTTTATGTTAAATAATAAAACTTAATTTTTCCAAAACAATGAAAAAATTATTGGCCTAAGCTATGCACCCTAGTAAAACCAACTGTACATTGTATCCGCTTAGCTGTTTAAAATTCTCGCCAGAATTTGGTTTCGATCGGTTCATGTATGGCTATGTTAGAAGGTGTGATGGACAGACAGACTAAGGGATACCACGGAATTTTATATATAAATATTGAAAAGTGAGGTTAATAGAAGGAAAGTTGGTGACAAAATATAATTTATATGTATGGAAAGAGGACACTTCGACGTGGTGTAATGATTAGCAAGCTTATCCCCCGAGATCGTTTACGAGTGAGTAGTGACACCGACCCTCACTGTGTGCCCCATAAATTCAGCGTTGTCCCACAATTAAGCTACGCTAAGAAATCCACCTTGACTTAATTAGATCAATTACAACTGAGCAGTGAGTTCGATTTTCTGGGTGTTCCATATTTTCGGCCTTGAGCAACATGTAAGCTGCGTTTATTAAATAGCTTGAGCACTTCGATGTGGCGTAATTGTTTGTCTCGCGAGATAAATTACGGTGGAAAGGTGAGTTCAATCCTCACTGGGGGTCCCATACTTTTAGGCCTATACTTTTTTCCACATCTAAGCTAGGCTTAAAAAATCGCCATTATTTAAGGCAGATAAAACCGTTTCGTTTTCGAAAGCAATTGCTTCGACAGCTTTTGAATAGTTTCGTCTCTTCAATTTCACAGTCAAGTATGAAACTTCCCAAAGGTGGGATCATGTCTTCAGTCTGACACTATGAAGAAGACTCCTCATTGACAAATCTCCAGCAGCCAGATTAGAACTTGAACCTCACGGTCAGACGGCTAATGCTCTAGCCATTGAGCTATGCAACCCAATATAACGGAGAAATCGAACTTTGTATATTCGTTACGGAAAAATGCGATGTTAATTGGTTAGCGTCTAATAGTTGCTTGGTCCACCATTAATCAATCAAAAGTGACAATCTCATTGTCTCTTCCAGCATCGTTTTTTTCTTCGCCGATGTAACTTGGAGAAAAAGACCCAAAAAGATGTGAGAAGGAAAAAGAGAAGGGAATGGGGAGCGAAAGCAGAGGCTGGGAGAGAGAGAGAGAGAGAGAGCGAGGTAGGGAGAAATTGTAAGAAAGATGGCGTAAAGAGGCGAAAGTCACAGAGAGGGTGGGTCGGAAATGTGAAAGTAAAGAAAGATAAAAGAGAGAGAGAGAGAGAGAGAGAGAGAGAGAGAGAGAGATGGACAAAGGGAGAGTCAGAAAAGTAAAAGTGAGATGGAAGTAAAGAAAGGCAGAGAATGTAAAAGTGAGAGAGGTAAAGAAGAGAGTGAAAAAGAGATGGAAAAGAGAGAGAGAGAAAAAGAGCAGCTGAATGCACTGCAAGAAAGTGAAAAAAAAAACAGAGAGAGACAGAGAGAGAAAGAGAAAGATAGAGAGAAAATGAGAGTGAGTTTGAGAGAGGGAGAATAGTAAAGAATGGCAGAAAATGTAAAATTGAGAGAGATAGTAAACACAGAGAGTGGAAGAAAAAGATGAAAAAGAAAGAGCAGTCTGAAGGCACTGTAAGAAAATGAAAAAGACAGACAGACAGAGAGAGAGAGAGAGAGAGAGAAAGTGGGGAGATGGAAAGAGAAAAATTGAGGTTGAGTGTGAGAATATGGAAATTAAAAAAAGCAGAGAATGTAAAATTGAGAAAGTGAAAGAGTAAAAGACGCCAGTCGAAAAAGAGATGGAAGAGAGAGAGAGAGAGAGAGAGAGAGAGAGAGAGAACATGAGCTGTCTGGAGACACTGGAAGAAAGAGAAAACTACTACGAGAAAGAGAGAGAGAATGAGAGTGAGTATGAGAGATGGAGGGGAATAAAGAAAGGCATAGAATGTAAAGTGAGTGATGTAAAGAAGAGAGTGGAAAAAATGAAAATGAAAGAGAGAGAAATGTCAATCTGGAGGCAGTGTAAGGAAGTGAAAAAGACACACACACATAAGTAGAGAGAGTGAGAGAGAGAGAGAGAAAGAGTTCGGAGGAAGAGGGATGTGGAAGATAGAAAGAAAGTAGACAACTGAAGAAAAACAATAGTGACAGAGCGAGAGAGAGAGAGAGAGGGGAGGAGTAAGGGTGGAAGTATAAGAAAATTGATAAAAAGGCGAAAAAATACTGAGACGAAGACATTAAAAGAAAAGTGAAAGTAAAGAGAGAAAGTCAAATAAGAATCAGAATAAAAAAAGAAAGAAAAAGAGCAAATGTAAGACATTGTAAAAGAGAGAAAAGGAATAAAGAAGGACAGAGTAAAATTCAAAGGGAAAAGAAAGAAAGAGAGAGAGAAGAGAAAAGGTCGCTTTCACTACTCGGGGTTCACAAGTGATCCTTCTTCTAATTACAGAGTAGACTCGGCATTGCTTACCTTCGTTGATCGAATGAGAACCGGTCTTTTCAGCGTGATTTGACCTTACGCTGAATGGAAGAAAAACTTGTTACTGTCTTTAACCTGTGATCGCGCCAAAACAGTTCCTAAGGCTCTTTGCTTTGAGCATCTACTTGGACCCGGGGTCACTCCAGATCTTAACCCATACGAGGTCTGATCAAAAAGTATCGGGACTGTCAACAGGGAGCCAAAGTACTCAGTGTGAAACCGCTTAACAGATTGACTTTGAACTCTGTCACGCATGCACACTAAGTTATAATCTTCCTGCTCACTTCCGCAGTATATAGTAGTGCTTGGAAAGGAAATGTGTAAGGTTTGGTGGTCCCAATCACGTCACAGAAAACTTATTGAAAACGGACCGATCACAAGTCGTGAGTCTATGGTTAAGACCCCAAAACCACGGCCTAGTCTTCGCAGTGGAAGACTCCAAGATCTCCGAGAGAGAAAAAAGCAGGAATGATTGGAATCATCGTGAAGAAACTGTCGATAGTTTTCTTCGATTACAAGGGCAGTATTCATCACGAGTATGTCAAACCGGATCAGATTGTAAACAAGGAGTACTACCGTGACATATTGCGTTTTCTGCGAGATTCTGTTTGTTGGAAAAGGACAGAATTGCATGCGTCTCTTCTATCGCACTTCTCGCTTGTGGAACTCTCTTCCGTCTTCTTGCTTTCCATTCAAGGTTGAACTTCAAAAGTTTAAATGCAATGTCAATTGCTGTCTCCTTTCTGCTTAATCCCTGTTTTTAATTGTTCTTTCTTTTTAATAATGTTTTTATTTTGTTGATATTTTGTCATGCCTTAGTAGCTCAATTAACTTACTTGGAGGGAAATTGATATATATATATATATATATATATATATATATATATATATATATATATATCATGAAGAAGTAATTATACAAAGATAATTAATGTTAATGTGATTAATGGCGAAATCCTTCGCTAACAAGATTAATGAGACATTAACTTACTATCAATTCTTTGAATAACGCTATCCTTATATTTGAGTTGGTTGTTGTCAGATAGAATTGATGAGACAGAGCCTAGTACTTTCGACAATTACAAATGTTCATCTTCAGGGCGTAATAGTTCATTTACAGGTAAACACCAAGACGAAATAAATGTAGTGTAGATCGAAAGATGTTTTTTAAAATTATGCTATTTATTGACAGTTATATTATTTTCGAACGTGCAATATCGCAACACTATAGTTCTTGTTTAAATAATTACCATGTAATTTTATTGTTGTGTGTTTTTTAGTCAAAATTGTAAGAAAAGTTGATCCTTTGTTAATG